TCGAGCACTTGTGATTTTCAGACAAAGCAGTGGGCTTGGAGGGGCTGGTGGGTTAATGAATGTCACAGTATTGATTGATTTAATTGACGATTCGGTTACGAGGGGTGATTTTCAGTTGCAGCTGGGATTGGTGGGATAATTGCAATTATTGCGATATAGTCGTCCTCCATAGCAGTGAATACAAGCCGATTTATAGTACATCAAGAAATATCTGTGTGGTCCAAACTAAGGATGGCTCCATACAACGATTTCATACCCAATACCAATACCAATACTCCGATACCTTGATGCTGAGGCGATAGTGTATACTGCATGTCCCGCAAAGTTAAGTACAGTATTTGGGCTCAGGCTTTTATCGTGGCTTTTATCGATGTTCGATCTACAATGTTGACCAATATCAGATCAATACCGATCACGAGTATCAGTATCTATCTGATGTCGGTCAACATTCATCAGCTACCTCTATTCAAAACCCCATTTTATAGCTCGCTAATCAATAAGACAAATGACACTAGCAGACAATTAATTGTAGGATTTCAATTACAATTACAGTGATCCCTCTCCTATCGCGCTAGTTGCGTTCCAAGACCCACCGCGAAATTGAGCCAATAGTACACCAGGTATGCACTGTATTAGCCAATAGTATGCTAGGTTTTACCTTGGCTCTAGGAAAACAAAGCTACCAGCGCTTGTTCACAAATGCGCTTATCTCAATTTCAAAACAGGAATCCACATTTTTAAAGCCAAAAACAACATTGGATTCAAACAAATCTGCAATGTACTGGGGGAGCTAAAGGAGAACCGCGAATCGAGACGGAACACTTTAATTTTCTGAACTTTTGTAATGTAATTTATAGAGACAACATAAACTCACGAGGTGTAGGTTTTCACACTGTCGGTGGTTGTTAGTTCTTAGGGACCAATCAGCAGAGCTCTCACTTTTGATTTGATTTACACGAGTCCACTCAAACCTGAGGGTCAAAGGTCAATTATCTAATTACTGCCCTACTGACATGAGTCCAAACAAATGAAAACAAGTCTATGCTGCGAGGAAACCTTTAGACTAAAAAGACACTAGAACATCTAAAACTACTGCAAAAAACGCTGAATCAAAACAAGGAAAGTAGCCTTTAGGAGGGAACTTCTGAGTTCCACATCTGCAACTACATGACCAGGTCCATTTCCTATACAAGACATTTGTTTGTAAAAACAAAAATACACAAATCACCGCTAAAGCTCTGTGTGACAAACACAGGCAGTCACGTTTATCAGTTTTCCTGAGTTTTTTCCAGCTGATGACCCGATTCCTCTGTGATTCCTCTAGCCTCCTCTGGAACACCACTCTGCCATTACACCTCACACACCACCATGACACACTTTCTCTAACCTCCTGACCATCTGAAACCGTTTAGTCAGGAACAAAACATCATCATCATCATGGTTCTTCTTCACTAACACGATTGGACGAATTTCTTCAGATTTTTTTTAGGGAGTTGATCTGATTCCCTGTGTCATTCTTTGTCTTTTATTTTGGAGACTCAGCATCAGACACATGAGCTCATCTCACACTCACACACACACACACACACACACACACACACACACAATACTGCATTGAAAATACATGTACCGTCCTGTTCATATTAGCACACAACCAGCTTTTCTTGCTCGATCGTGGGATTTCAATTAAACTGAAATCACGCGCACCCGCGTCAATGTGGATTTCGTGCACGTTTGCGTGCTCGGCTTCACTTTGCGCGTCCAGGCGGTGACATTCGGTGCAGTTTGTTATGCGGTTTTTGTTTGTTTGTCTGTTTGTTTGTGTCGGCTATTTAATTGGCGTTTTTTCCCTACCTGTTTTGTAGAAGGCATCAGTGTCCGGGTCGCTGGGCGCCTCCTCGGCCGCTTCTGCAGGATTCATGCCGGAACCCGGTTCAATACAATCCAGCGACAAAGAAAGACTGGGGTTTCTCTTTAAAAATGGGGGTAAAGGGGAGGAAAAGGGAGATAAAGCCCCTCCGATCAGGACAAAAATCCCGTGTTTTTTATTCCTCACATGATCTGCCTTCACCTCCTTCTCCCTCCATCACCTCCTCTCTACTGTTTTCTTTCTTTCTCTTGTCTCTTCGCCCTCTCGGTTTGTTTGCTGTTTCAGGGCTGGCTTCGTTTCTCTCTATTGTTCCCGGTCCAACCTCCCTCTGCTGCTGCTCCTGCTGCTGTTGTCCGCCTAGGTCTCTCTACCTCCCTCCCTCTCCTTCTTCACCTCCCCCAGAACACCCCTCCGCCCCCCACACTCCCCTTCTCCTGCTCTCTATCTCCCTCGCTATACGGATGATAATTCCTAAACTTTTGCACACGAGATTGTAAATAATAAGATTGTAAATAATAATAAATTAGCAGGTTGTAATATTACGATATTTGTCAATGATGTTGACCCTGTGTGAAAAGAGAAGTATAACGTGGTTCTTTAATTATTTTTTAGTATGTCAATCAATAAACTGTAAATCAATTTTCTAAATTGATAAAGTAGAATTATTCTGTTCCAGTCATCTCCCATTATTTCATAGTTCCTTAACACTCAGACAGATCAAGTCACCCTGGTAGATTTTTGTGTCTACTAACACAAATTTATGTATTCAAATTTAGTTTTCTTAAAAAAAAGAAAACAAACAAAAAAAAGCAACAAACAAACAAACCTCCACATCAGATTTAGAATGTGCGTAATTGTAATACAGGCAGCTCACCAGGATAGTGCTGTACCCAAACAATTCTTAACCTCATTGTGCATTATACAAAATAATGAACCCAATACTTCTATGTTTTTGCCTGAATATCAGTTTTGTTTGCCTGTTACTGGCTGTTGTTTCTAAAATATGTCCTGGGAACTCGATGTAAACCACACATTGAATCAAACCTCTTTCAGTCGTATTAACAATCTCACCTACTGTTCTGAAATGATGAACGTCTGGGCAGGTTACTGTTGTCGTGAGGCTTTATTTGCAGGTTTCTTAACTATGGAGTTGTGGAAAATTTAAGAGGTCTTTGAAAAAGATCACATTACTATGGATCAAAATAATTGGAGTTTGGCTCCAGACAATTGGCTTAAGTACCTTTTCTGCAGCAGCAGCTCTGGTTATTTCTGTCCTTCCTGGAGGATTTAGTGACATCTAGTGTTAAGGTTGCAAATGGATTTCAAATGAATACGTGTATCACCTCGTGCTTTTGTGTTAGTCTGGTTTATTTGTTATGAGTACATGAAAAAAAAAACACCAGTTCAGTTAATCTTAGCATTTAGCAACACTTAACATTAAGATGAAGAAACAAAATACATCTCAAGGCTACAATATATTGAGGATTTGTTTATTTTGCATTGTTTTAATGACAACAAAAAAGCACTTGGTTGCAGTTAATCTTTAAATCTATCTTTAAATTTGTTATTTTGTGACTTTTATTTTGGAATTCCTTTGTTGTTGTTTTGTTTTTCTTGATCTTATGGATATAAAGTTAACAGCAGAGGCAGCATTTCACATCAGACTTGTTTTTCTCTATGGAATGTGGTTTGGGAGCTACCTCAGCTGTGATGTGGATATAATTTGTTTTCACTGACAGAGCATCACTGTCAGCACTGACTGTGTGTCAATGTCATTTAACTGAATGGCTGTAGGTTGTGGCTGCAAGAAATGGACAAATTCATTTCTAACGCCTGCACTTCATGTTTTTGTTTTTGTTTGGTAGATAGATAGACAAATCAGTAACACACGCAGAGATACTTTAAATGCCAGGTTAGCCTACTTAACTAGGTTAAAGTAGAAAGAGGACACATGTCCCTGTCATGGATGTTGTAGATAATGATGTACAAAAATGCCCTCCACTATTTATATAATCTATTTCTATATGAATGTCCCCTTGTGTGACTACATTCTTCAGATATTTGTCCTAATCCACGGGGAACCGTGTCATACATGACGTGTGCTCTTCCCTCTGACCTTGGCTGTCGCTTCTCCTCCTCTCACTCAACGCCTCACCTCCTCAGCATGAAGGATAGAAACTCCAGGGTCCGTGTCACGTACAACTGTATTGCTGTACTGCCATCTAGTGGCAAATAAAACACAACAACTGTGTCAATTTAAAACAAGTAGGCTACTGAATTACATTTATCAACAAAAATGTGTTCGCCCCACTTCAACCGCCTAGTTATGTACTTTTAGCGTATAAATAGTGTTGAGAATGAGATTTATTTTCCTATACGTTATTTATTACAGCACAATTTCAATATGTGGGAGCTATTTGGAATGTACTCTTTATGACGGACTAATTTAACGGTAACAATCCGCTCTATATTTTGGAAAAAATATTTAAACCTATATCAGCACATTCTCCCATATTTTATTAAAATAAAGCACGTCTTCTGTTAACTTATTTGCATATTCCAGAATATTATTAAATCTGACTACAACGCGCCGGAATAATTCAGTTTACGGTGGAAAAGGGCAATATGTCGTCGACAATATAACCAGGACAACGTTCGTCTGTTCAACAGCACTAACTCCTG